TCTTTGTGACAGATCAAGTCGAATTGGGCAACATTACTATTGAACACATGCCAACTGATGAAATGTGGGCAGATTACATGACAAAGCCTTTACAGGGCGAAAAGTTTCGCAAATTCCGGGCTGTAATCCAAGGTGAACAGGATTAGTCCTGATAATCAATCTTGGATATTCTACTTATATTGAGAGGTAATGTTTTCGTTCCATCCACTGGAGTTGCTGGTGAAACAACAGGAGTGTGTTGGAGGTATTGATATACTGAGCAATCACATTGGTCGATTATTGATCAATGATCTATGTGACGTGACATGGCAGTGACGTGAGTGTCGAGCATGCGTAGTATGAAACGCAGTATGTCCGAACAAGTCATCACGTAGAAAGGTGATCAAGAATGAGAATCGTGAGAATTTGTAATATGATCCTGAACTTCAATCGAGAGTCTCACTATTGATTGAGTTCTGGCAAGAATAGTATTGTGGACATTGAAGTCCAAGCAAGTATAGGAAATAATAAAGTAAGACCTTTGATTGAATAAGACTACTGCTTATTCCAGAGGCTGAGGCCCAGAGTCGCTGGTGCCCAAAGGCAGACCATAGCCGACATAGATTTGATCTCAGGGACTGCTCATTGAAACAGACAGGGCGTTGAGGCTCCCATTCAGGTCTGTAGAGCAAGTCCATCTGACAGCGGCTACAAAATTCTACAATTCCATTAGCAATCGATCTCTCATACAATTACAATATAAATACTATTGCTTTAGTTGCCTACTCATGCAAATTCAAAATAATGTCTATGAGCCCGTCGGCAGCTTCTTGCTGTCCAGTGTTGGAGTTCTCAGTAGCAGGTGCTGGTCGGCACCTGGATTTGACCATTTGGACCAATGCATTCTCATCGTGACAGCCATCATGGTGGCAGCTTGGACCACCGCGATCTTTGTGGCAGCCGTTGCTTCCACGACAATTGGATTGACGACTGCCAATAGAACAAGAATGATCCATGAGAACTGGATCGATAATGATCAGTAGAACGAGAACAAAAGGCTGACGTCTTTTGGCTTCTTTGATAGGAGTACAATTTGCTTTGGAACAGATTCAATTGATTTGCAATCGCTATTGGTCTGATCATGGTCACTGATCTGATTAGAGTCTCAAGACATGGATGGGTCCTTCTGCTGGCCTCTAGGTGTTGAAATTGCTCTCTTGGAGACCATTCATTGGAAACTCCTTGATAGAAGCAGTTCGACACGTCCGATCGGACAGACAGACAACTGTCCGTTTTGGTCCGTTTTATTCGGGGGATTCCTATGAGTTGGTTTTTGCAGGGAATCTGAAAACATGGAATTGTGGGCTTGGACTATCAAACGTCTGAGCGCCACAAAAATCCCAGACTGAATCCTGCGGGAGTTCTGTACATGGGTTTTTGTACCGGCCTTTCTGGATTGCAAACATCCAGTAAAGGTATGGGAAATTTGAGTTTTTGTGCAAGGCTTTTGCTTTGCCCATTCCATGTAGATAACAAGTCTTTTAGAATAGTTATTTCCTGTAGAGATGATTATTTCCTATTAGGCGGATTGGAGATCGCTATGGTCGGTGCCTCTGCATGACAACTTGATGGGTCGCATATTGGCACGGCTGGTTGGCAATGATGGCTTTATGGGCCAAAAAGTTGTCAATCGGTTTGGACGACGACAAGCCTGTCGCTTGTCTGATGCCCGCCAGAACCGAAATCCAACTTTGTCTACATGGAAAAAAAGGGTGGGGAGAATGGTAAGCGTTTCGTAACAGTTGTATGAGCTGATTGTTGTATTTCCACCGCTCCCACTGTGTCTTTCTTCTTTCCATTGAACTTGCAAAAGTGCGACGCGCCAAGAGCCAAGAAGGGCCAAGAGCGGACAGTCACCATGGAACTGACCCACAGAGGCGGTCTTTCCTCAGCGCAAGAAGCTTGGACGAAAGAAGGAGCGGTCGCAGCGCTGGATCCAACATCAGCCGCATCGTGGAGACCTTTCTGTTTTTCTTGCCCGAGGCGGCAGCTGGAGAGATTGCATTCTACAATTTCAAGGCCAGTTGTCGTCGGTCATGTGGGGGAGTGATGGAGCTCGAAGGCAAGGTGTATTGTTGCTTTGTGGGATTTCAAGGAGGCTGTTTCTGGCGCGGAGTCGGAGGCCTATCTACTGTTCTTGGCCTCCCTCCATCAAGCTACAATCATCCTTTTGTTTTTCAAGTGTGCTGGGGCCTGGACATTTGGCGTCGCGACTGGAAGTTTCATGTGGAAACTCAGGAGCGCCATGCCACAATTCGTCCCCCCCCCTTTGTCCACAAGTGATCTTCAGTGGCACCGCCGCCTCCATGTTTGTGGGAAAAACAGGAGCGCCAGCGCTAAGTCCTCCAAGATCACTGACTGCACACACACACGCACCAGTCCACCATTTGATGTGCCTGTCCTTTAGCAACATGGGTGTGCGCAAGGGTGCAGCTCATGTGATGTTCCTGCTGAACATCACGCTTTTGGACGTCTCTCCTACTCTGATCTTCAGAGTTAGGAGCGTGTTGAAATTGCTCTCTTGGAGACCATTCATTGGAAACTCCTTGATGGAAGCAGTTCGACACGTCCGATCGGACAGACGGACAAATGTTCGTTTGGTCCGTTTATTCGGGGGATTCCTATGAGTCGGTTTTTGCAGGGAATCTGAAAACATGGAATTGTGGGCTTGGACTATCAAACGTCTGAGCGCCACGAAAATCCCAGACTGAATCCTGCGGGAGTTCTGTACGTGGGTTTTGTACCGGCCTTTCTGGATTGCAAACATCCAGTAAAGGTTTGGGAAATTTGAGTTTTCGTGCAAGGCTTTTGCTTTGCCCATTGTCCACAAGTGATCTTCAGTGGCACCGCCGCCTCCATGTTTGTGGGAAAAACAGGAGCGCCAGCGCTAAGTCCTCCAAGATCACTGACTGCACACACACACGCACCAGTCCACCATTTGATGTGCCTGTCCTTTAGCAACATGGGTGTGCGCAAGGGTGCAGCTCATGTGATGTTCCTGCTGAACATCACGCTTTTGGACGTCTCTCCTACTCTGATCTTCAGAGTTAGGAGCGTGTTGAAATTGCTCTCTTGGAGACCATTCATTGGAAACTCCTTGATGGAAGCAGTTCGACACGTCCGATCGGACAGACGGACAAATGTTCGTTTGGTCCGTTTATTCGGGGGATTCCTATGAGTCG